GTAATCAAGTATAGGTATCCCTACTCTCCTGTGGTTTATGTGCTTTGAAAATCTCTGGTACCCATTCCTGACAGAAATAGTCTGTTGCACAAGTTGTGGGCCTACGGGACAATGTACAGATCAGATAAATTTTAGTTTTGAGCATATACTTAACAAGTTAGAGATAGCCAACTGCATGGTCTGCAATATGGAACTTTGATGTGTTGGCAGAGTGCTTTACAGTTTTAGTATGGTGTGATATAACAGCATTTAGGAGACACATTTTTACAATAATTAAAATTAAATGAGAAGTTATTGAGCAATTCTTGGCAAGTCTGCCATTTCTGCACCATCAATTACATTACATTTTGCGACTGGCTCAGGCACACAAATTATTGTACTTAGGGCTAAAAATAACTATATCAAATCTTATATCACATGTGGGGTTTTTGTACAACCCAATTTTTTAAACATTTTTGTTTTTGTTATTATTTACATTATATATTAAGTCATGAAAACACAGGCTGGTGGTGTATAATGTAAGTCTCACGGTATCTCATATTAAATGTGCATTTAGAATTTTTAGATGCATGCAAAATGGCAGCCTTGTGTGGACTGTCCCATGGACTCTTGGGAAGATGCCCTAAAGTTGACAATTCTTAAACTATGGTAGATGTAAAAACACAGTGAATTAAAGTTGTAGAGATAGTTCTTTTCAAACATTTTGTTTAAATCCTCAAAAACATCTGTTAAAAAAAATGTTTCTTGGAGTGCAGGGCCTGGCTACTAACTAAGCAATATGGAGCAAAGTCTGTATGAGCTCCTCAGTCTCCACGTACTTCAATTTAAGTGTAATTCCAAAGACAACCTGAAATAAACAATGATTAATCTGATTTAGCTTGGACTATTTATTTTGGATTTTACAGGACTTTTCCTGGAAACGTGGCTGATACCCCATTTTTGATAGCTCAAACATTGTGCTAGCCCTGTCCCCCTCCCCCTTTGGCATTATTCAACTAGAGATACTCGGCTTGTCCTGCACTGGAAACTTCCCGCGGCTTGCACTTAAAATGGCTGCCGCACCTGCCCTTCAGTGACCCACCACACTACAGAATTACTTATTTATGATAGCATTTGACAATCTCTGCTCTAAATTTTTGGGACAATATGCAATAGTGCACTGCTGCCACAACTATGCTACTCCAGTGGAAGGCGGAGGGCTCTCAGCCATATAAAACCTCCTTCCTGGCACTTAGGATGGGTCCCCACAGCCACTTATCTAGGTCACAAGAGTTTGGGGTAGACCTCCACATCACAGCCCAAAACCCAGGAGAGTCCTTTATGGATGCGTGTGGTGGGATTCTCCTTGGACTGCGATTTTTGACACACAGAAGGGCCGAATCCATGGGTGACAGATGCTGGTTCGTGTAGTGACCTGGGGCTGGTGGAGCGAAACATATCAGACTTGCCTCTCTGCTGGGACTATGCCATTTTTAACTCAAAATATGCTTCAGGTTGGAGTGGGCTGAAGGGCCATTTTCTAGGGATGGCTCTCATACAAGTTTCACATTGTTCTATTATTGCTAGGATTAGTCCTATAGTGACATTACCAGTATATTTTGTTATTTACTCAGTATTTCTCACAAGTTACTCCAGTGGCTTTTCATTTAATTATGATTGTATGCGTTATTTCTCCATGTCTTTCATTTACTATAAGTAAAAATTGTGCAGATATTTTGACATGCATATCACAACTGTATTGATACCTCTTTTATATCTTACGGTGACATGTCTACGCATATCTGTGTTTTTGTCATTGCTCTACAAAAATAAAATTGCCAATAATATATATATTTCTTGTTTCTGATTTCCCTAGTTTAGAATATAAGTATCCAATCAACATTTGTATGACATGCTAAACACCAGACAATTTGAGACGTGCTGGGAGGATGCTTCACATTGTATATCAATTAGTGACTGCCAGTCAGGATGAGAAAGTCTGTCTGCTTAATGACTTGACTGATGTGGATTGAGACTAGTCAGACATCATTGTTTTGACCTCTGTGCTTGTGGATTGGCCTTAGTCAGTTGTGTATGTTTAGACTGCTTTAGTTTGAGTTCTCAGATTTGTTTTTGTTGACAGTTCGTGTAGAAGTCAATACACATACATATTATACTACCTAAAGGCCATAATTAACCGTAAATATAGTACTTTAGTGTTGTTAATCCTAATAAATCTATATACAGCATACTCAAACGGCCTAATCTAAGTCCAACTCGGCTTTTAGAAATCAGTGGGATTTATATGCTAAAAAAATTAGATGTAGCAGCAGTTAATTTTGGTTTTAAGATTTAAGTTACAGAAGCTGAGATGGAAAATGTCATATTGAGTCATATTGAGTTATGCTGTTTTTTTCTTGCATCTTTTTTTTTTTTTTACAATCTTTATTTGAAAGAGAATTTTAACAAAAAAGTAGAAATTATTCTGACATTTCCATAGCCAAATGTACTAAATGGACCCAGGACATACTTGAAAACGAGAGAAAGCTCAATGCATCATTCCTGGTAAAATATTTTATAAATAAATAAAATTAAAGTAAACAACAACAAAAGTTAATATATGCATTTCTCAAATTTAAACTTGAGAAAAAGCATATTTATCATCACAAAATTACATCAGATGACTTGTCCAAGCAATGGAGTGTGCTGAGATTCTTTCTTCTCTTCCATAACTCAATTTTTCTCTTTTTTAGAGACCAACTATTACATTAATGGAGCTTGGGGGTACTGCCAAGTTCCACTTGAGGGGGAGCAGGGACTTGGCAGCATTTTAGCATGTGCCTCTTGCGAGTTCTGCTGTTCTGGTCTAATTTTTGCAAATCAATATTCAAGCCATATCAATTATGTATTTTGGGAATCCAGGCCAAAATTATGGAAAGCTAGTGCTCTTATGTATCAAGTACATTTTACTTAAATTTATTTTGAATTATTCACTAAAGAGAGGAATGTGTTTAACTGGAAACTACATTTATATTTTTGAATTTTGGACAAAGCAAATATAAAAGTTCTCACCTTACTCCTTTGCCGGTCCTTATGCTGAATTCCTATATCCTTTAGCATTCTTTTCAAATCCCAGTGCTCAACTACAATGCCAGTTGTACCTATATACAAAGCTTGTCTTTCCAATTACTTGTATATCCTTTTTGTCTATTGCAAAGTGCAGTAGAATATTCTAGCACTTTGTATATATTAGCTATATTAATAATTAACACATCATTTTTTCTAGAGAAAATGATTTGTTCTGTGCGACCCAGAATCACATTTTAATTTAGACCGAAAAAAGACACAAGTGAGTTCAATAAACATCAAGTTGTGTTGAGAACAAACATGCAACATTTAGCCCATAATAGCAGAGATGGATAAAATCTCAGCTAATTATATTGTATTTCAATGTTAATATATGTAATGGATAAAAGAGATATAACATACTGGAAACGTGATAAAAAATTTAGTTATTTGAGACCATGATAAATTGTAATTGAGTCTGTTCTATGTTTTCCCCCTCTCACAATATTGTAAAGTGCTACGGAATCTGTTGGCGCTATATAAATGGCAATAATAAAAAATAATAATAACAAATGTTTTGACCATGATAGATAGGAAAATAGTTTGTGGAATAAAATAAAATGTGACAGTGATAAACCATTTGTGTAATTTGATTATTTCCTTTAACCATATCAACTATAAATAGGAACACCAATAAAATATGCACTATGCAGTTCAGCAGTAATGTTCTGTTACATACATTTTTGCATGGCTATTTAGACCAATAATAGCCTATAGCAGGGATTCCAAACCCAGTCTGCAAGGCACCTCAATGGTCAATGTTTTGTCAGTATCTCCATGGGAACGGAACTGTGGAATGTTGCATATTGGGCAGTTTCTGTGTATTGAGGACTGGGTTGGGAAGCAGTGCTTTACACATCCAATGGGATACACATCCAATGACTGGTGAACTGCAAACCCCATGATTCACTGAAAGTATTAACAAGTAAAAAGATGACTGGTGATCGGTGAATCATGCTGTAGATAGTGAGGTTTTTGAATGAACTATGCTGCTGCTTGATAGCATGGGATGGGAATGATGTCTGCTAATCATGGGATGCCCTAAATATAAATGTATATATATAATGTATGTATACTTACCTGGGATTTGTGGGGAACTGGCTAGGCTAGGGGATTTATATTTTTATACTAAATTAGCTGAGTTAGGTAAATAGCCAAAATGTAGATTATTTCCAAATTTTGGTTTAAAATTAGAAGTATGTTTTTGAATTCACATCAGTTGCCAGTTTAGTGAATAAACCTTTTTAAAGTTATTTACTAAATTGCAAACTGACTCAGGAAATGTACATGTTGTCTTGGGTATAATGTTTCCAACTCTGCTATTTTGGACTAAATATTTCATTTCTTTTGTGTATTCTCCACATTTCAGTTTAGTGAATAAATATCTATTATGTATACCTTGTTATTGCCTTTATTAGTGTGGAATGTGAATTAATTCACCATTTGAATATCTTCCTTGGCCATTTAAAATGATGTAAATACACAAGCAATTCAAGTATCATACATTGTCCAGAGAAATATAAGAACAACTTCAGAATGCTAATTCAAACTTGTATTTAATATATTTATAGCAATTACTAACAAATACATAACATACAATACATATAAAAGCTTAAACAGTTTAATCTGCCAAAATATATTTATTTTTCCTTCATCTTTTATATATACAGTATTATACAGTTCCATATATACATTATATACAGAGTAGACGTTGGGCCACTTATGATACCCCTGCTGATGTTGATCTGGAGAACCTCACGGAGGTAGAATATAGCAGTTGGAGACCCAGATAAGTCCTTTCCATACTACCATATAAAGTCAGTTAAGGATTCTGGTCCTTTACAGTAAATAAATTAGAATACAAACAGTTTATTGGAATCAGGAAGAAAAAATATTCAGCTGCACCCACATTCCTCAACAACCATGTCCTCGTGGTGCTTCAAAACGACGTCATTGCCTTCAAAATACAACATAGACAATGCACTCATCTTCACTGGAATGCAGGCTGGACACTCCACTCGTTCTGGTTGATACAGCTTAACCACACTCTGTAAATTCACCAGAGAAAAGAAAGGCTTGTTAAAAAATTGTCAAATATATGCATACATCTGTAAACAAAGCACGGAAGGGATTCTTGATCTTGGTACAATCAACACAGCTTCAGACTATCTATTAATAAATACCTCAGTTTTAGAGCATTTTCTGATATATAAATAGATGCTATCAACATTCGCCCTCCCAGTCAGTCTTAAACAGCTTGGCTGCCTGAGAATTTGTAAGTAATGGTTTGTCACATTTGTCTTGTTGGCTTAATGTTCTCATTATCTGTAGCCAGAAAGTGGCCAGGGATGATGAGAGTCATGCTTCAAATGCAGTTAGGATTATTTATGGTCACCCAAATCTACTTGAAATTACTGTTTAGCAATTATTTTGCTAACATTTAGAAATATATACATTTTCTCCATTCAGGTGTTTTAAATGTTTTAATGATAACAAAAGAGTATTAAACTCAGTTGTATCTTTACCTTCATGTAAGCATGGTTCGTTGGCTTGAAGGTCTCATTCAAGGGGATTGGACAGGCTCCTTCACACCGGTATGCATTGTACTTTCTTGGATAGACAATCCAGCTCTCCCAACCAATTTTCTGAAAATCTACAATCATGTCTACTTTCCTGCAAAGATGTTTCCCAACTTCTACTGGATTTGAGGGTCCATTGCCCGTGAACAGATGGTGCTTTTCATTCCTGTTCCTTCTGTGTCTCCTTATACTTGACAGTCTGGTACTTTTCTCAAGTGTAACATGCTTCGATGTCTCCACTGTTTTGATGAGGCTAAGAGAACTAGAAAGGTTGGCAGATGGCTTGTCCTTGGAAAACACCACCAGCATAACTCTTTCTGTGGTGATGAAGGGCACATCCACGCTATCTGTTTTCTGCCGAAGACTATTTTCTGTCTGAGCTAACATTTCTTCTACCCTTGTCACCATGTTATTTCTATCTGTTCTCTTAATCCACATATCTTCTGTGTGAGAATATTTGTCTAGTTGATTGAGGTAGCGCTGAATTATGTCAGTCAGATTGAAAACCTTCCAGGAAGAGTTTTGTTCAACAGAAAAGTCAGTGGCAAATGACCCTAAAAACATATTATGTCCATTCTTGCTATGATAGATCTCCACCGTCACATTGCGTGATGTCTCCAGAGATGGAAGATGGATTCTTAGCTGTGCCAACCTTAATTCATTGTTGATGGAAATGGAAGACATGTCAAAAAGCAGTGCCCAATTACCGTCTTTTTGAAAGCACTCTAAAGAAGATAAAAAAACCACTCAAAATGAATAACCTATTACAAAGTTAATATTTAATGTTTTATATTATAGAGGAAAAGAAAAGGTAGCAGACAACTCAAGTAATCTTTCAATAGAAGTAATAGCAGGCAAGTTCATAAAACTATGCTGAAGATGAATATAGTAATATAAGCATGAGAATTCAAAAGAACAAAAAGACACTAGTAACTGAATGCATTCTGTCTATGTTTTTGTCCGTTTTATAATCTCGTTTTGTTAAATTTTCATAGGTTATTTCTTTATCATTCAGATCACTACAGACTGAACAGCAGTTACTTCACCAAATGTAAAAAACATTGCATCCTTGTTTTGTGGTAAGTAGGTGCTATTTTTACATAGGGCCAAGTCCCAATACACAAAATCTAATGAGCCTATGATTGTTTTAACACTCGTCTGAGCAGGGGGGCTGTCTGATAAATGATGGTCCATCTTAATCACAAGGGAACAAACACAGGACCAATGACATAACACAACAACAAAAACAGCAGTTAAGTAAACACAGAATTAACATTCACTCAGTTACATTTCTACTAAATAGTTTACTATTCTATTTTTTTAAGTGTATTTTGAAAATTGCATATTTTTTCCATAAAAATATTTTACCATTGTAGCTTTAAGTTGTAAATAATTCAAAATGTCATGTACAAAAAGATGTCGTTGCATGAACAGAATTACGACAGTAAAATAAGCCAAAGCAATAAATATTAATAAAAACAAAAACAAGAAATATGGCGAGTAAACAGTAAAAAGTAATAGTACATGTCATCTACATACCTTTAGCAACCAAGTTTAGAACAGTGTCATATTCTGGAAGGGAATAATGTTCAGGCATGGGAACGTCTGAGTGGCGTCTGTTGCTTAGAGTTTGGTAGAGCTGCATCATGTAAAATGGAAATTTTGTATCTTGGTGATGCCTCTTTCCATAAAGAGTGCTTAATACCTTTGATCCTAAGTCAGATCCAGAAAAGTGCATTCTGGCATCTCCTCTGTCTACAAAGGAGGGTAAGCAATGGACCAAGCAAAAGAAAGTAAGGCACAGAACAGTTTTAAGTAAAGCCATCTCTTAAGTTCTCTTCTGATTTGCTGTCTCACAGCAGATGTTGATTGCTAACTAACTGTTTCACGTTTGACCTGGCTGAGGAATACCCTGGCTTTATATAGGAGGTGAAGCCTGAGCTTACATGGCTTTTCACACCTATGACCTTTTTGATCTAAATGACCTCACCATCAAAAGCCAAAAGGCCCTAGGACTAATGTACAATTAATGGCATCCTACTGTTAAGCTAACAGTCCTAAGGCTGCAAGTTCTCTAACATTTCACAGATAGATATAAAATACATGACACACAAGGATGCAATTATTTCCTGCATCTCTGAAGCAGAAATAACACAAGACAAGCAAAAAATCATGTGTAGTAACACAAGATTAAAAAGGATTAAATTTCTAGTTGTTGAATGCAAATTATATGTATATTCCGCCGCAACTCTAATCTGTACACCAACCTAAATAATGTTATTATTGAGCTTAATGGCAGCTGGACGCACATTGTGCGAACTCCAAGCTTGTTGCTCAAACTATAGAGAATAACAGATTTCCAGCTCGTCAAAACACTGCACTCAGAGTCTTACCTATGCAAGGAGCCTTGGGCCATCCAATTATTGCACCTATCAGAGGTTACAGCAGGGCCCAGTGGACCTAACAAGCGGGTGAGGCGGCTGCTCTCCCGCTCGAGGTAAAGCTGCTCTATCGGAGGTCCCATTTCCCCCCCCCCCCACTGGACCAGTGGGGGTCATCCCAGTCCCCACCTCTACCACGCGATAATCACCTGCGCTCTGACTCACTATACTCATACAGCGGTGCGCTGACTACTCAGCCTCAAGATGGTGACGGATCTAGAGCCCACGCAGGGGTCCATGGCACATTTACTCACGAGGTGGAGGGAAGCCTTTATGACCGCTTTGACCAAGTATGTGCACGATTCTGGTCAGGCCTGCAACAGAGAGCAACCACAGCCGACTTACCTAATGGGAAGAAGCACAGTGACAGAGGGTCTCTTCTGGATTCTGAGGCCGACAAGCCACCTTCACAACCGCTTAGAAGCACCAAATGTCGACTAGCATAACGGAGGTGGTGGAGGCACTTTCTGCACACCTCGATGCAGGTGGGATGCAGACCGAAATCAGCACAGCATACTCTTATCATAAAAAGGGGGAGTGTGAGGAGAGATACAGGATGGAGAGGGCAGCACCCGCATGTTCAAGAACCACGACTGACACTTATGGCACTGGGCGATCTTGACTGGGATAGCATCCTCCCCTAAACAGGAATCGGCTGACCGCAAGGCTGAGACTCTTAATCCTTGTTTGCGCACTGCCTATTGATTGCTCCTGCTGACCACCCATTGTGAAGTTATGTTATGTTTAGTTCTACTATACTCAGATAATAGCTGTCATCTTGCTATAATAATCTGTTTGCTCATTGATGTCCATTCAGCTACATGGGGTGGTATATCTACTTATAGTTTACACATTTAGAATTAGCCTGCTAATCCTTCTATCATTTTTTCATGCATTCTAAGCCTGTCTATTACAACAAAGTTGATGAGTTTGGATCCTGTGGTCTCCATTAGCTGTAATCCACATGTCTACTTTTGCCTCACTACTTACAAGCCTAGTTTCTGCTCTGTGAGTAGACTTGTTTTTTCTCCTTTCAGTTGTTATTTTCTTTCACTAACTTAAAGTTATCCATGTCAAACCATTTACTGTCTATGTCTACTGAAACGCTGGCAACAGCTGTTGTGGCATAGCAAGAATTCCTGTAATATGTATTATCTAAGCACGGAAAATAAAGAATAAAAAAAAAAAGAATTGAAAAAAATAAATAATGTTATTATCTGATTTTGTATTTTTTATTAGTATCAATCTGTGATTGAATACATACATTTGTTTAAGTGTAATTGTCATTGCTGTATCTTGCCACCCAGTCGGATGCCTCTTGTGATGGTTTCGCAGGAGTCAGGTGCAAATTTTTCCTCCAAAGCAAAATGTTATGGTGTTGGAAGTCTGACACGTGGAGAGATTACATCTTTTCAAATGGCCTGTCCACCAGAGGTGGTCATTCCCTTGACCTGACAGCTCCTAAAATGTTCAAGGATGCGTCCACTCCAGTACTCAATTATTTTTATGCTCCTGCGCCATAAACCCTGCATTTTTCTATTCCTGCCTTCCACGTTTTGTCCTCTGTTTCCTGCTCTTCATTAGTATTGGATTCTGACTTGACCAACTGCTTCCAAAATGACATTGCTTGTCCTTTGCACTGCAATCATCAAGCCCTCCTGGAAGTTATAAGATTTCTGATGTCCAAAACTGTGTTCCTGCACCAAACTAAGCCCCCCACCCTTGATAATAATTGATAGCAAAATAAAAAATGTCCAATAGCAGGAACTTAAATACCTAATTATTAAATCTTTGGTAAGTTTACACAAGCTGCTCTATCGCAGGAACACCTGGAGGACCCACCAACCCCCCTTACCAGTAGTGGGATTCAAAAATTTTAGTAACCAGTTCTGACTAAGTTTCCAACTCCACAGAGTCGGCCCAAGACATTGTGCTGCTTGGGACCAAGACTGCATCCCCCACAGTCATTCATGCACACGCACACAAGCACATCGACACAGTCACACATATATACCCTGGGGGGGGCAAAAATACCCTGCGGGATAAGGGAATGCAGTAAATGCATACATCTAGTATATTATGCCAATGAGCAGTTAATGCGTAAACATGGTATAGCATGCCAATGAGCAATAACTGCATAAACCTTGTATATTATGCCAATGAGCAATAAATAAAAAAATTAGGTATACCATACCAATGAGCAATAAATACATAAACTTGATGTATCATGCCAATGAGCAGTAAATGCGTAAACTTGGTATATCATGCTAATTAACATTAAATGCATAAACTTGGCATATCATGCCAATGAAGCTATAAATACATAAACTAGGTATATCATACCAATGAGCAGTAAATATATAAATCCTTAATATCATGCCAATGAGCAGTAAATTCTTAAACTTTGTATATCATGCCAATGAGCCAAATGTGCCTCCAAAAAGTCTACTAGTGCCATGTGTCCCCAAACAACCAGCAATGCCATCTCTCTACCACCAGCCTCCCTGTACCATCTCTCTGCCCTTAGCCTCATTCTGTCATCTCTCTGCCACCAGCCTCTTTGTGCCATCTCACTGCCCTAGCCTCTCAGTGCCACCTCTCTGCCCCCAGCCTCTGTGACATGTCTCCCTTTAGGCTCTCTGTGCCATCTCTCTGCCCCAGCCACTGTTCCATGTCTATGCCACCAGCCTGTCTGTGCCATCTCTTTGCCACAAGCCTCTCTGTGCCATCTCTCTGCCCTCAGTCTCTCTGCCCCGCCACTGTTCCATGTCTCAGTGTGGGAGACAGTGTGTGTATGGGAGGGTGACGGTGTGTGTGGGAGGGTGACAGTGTGTGGGGGAGGGTGACGGTGTGTGTGGGATGGTGACTATGTGGAGATAGTGACAGTGTGGGGGGATGGTGACAATTTGGAAGGTGGTGACAGTGTGAGGATAGTGACAGTGTGGGGATAGTGACAGTATGGGGGGTGGTGACAGTGTGGGGATGATTATTTAGGGGGGTGACAGTGTGGGAGGTGGTGACAGTGTTTCGGATGTGACATTGTGGAAAGTGGTGATAGTGTGGGGGAAAGGTGACAGTGTAGGAGGTGATGACAGTTTGTGGGGTTAGTGACAATGTTTTGGAGGTGATAGTATGGGGGTGGTGACAGTGTGGGGGGATGGTGAAAGTGTGGGGGGATGGTGACTGTG